GCTTTGACCGCTTTTGTTTTGCTTTTCTAAACTTACGTCTGGTCACGTCGTACCTGCTTACTGAATGCCGTGTGCGTAACGTAAGTCGTGCTGCCCAGCGCTAGGCTCTGGTGCTGCCTGGAATCATTAAGAGAATCGTTAAGCGAGCTGCCAATCGGTGCCATGGAATTGGAACACACGGAACCAGTGCTGAACAGGAACCGGTTTTCGATTCCCCTCCCTATGCATGATGCTGCCTTTGTCATGCTTAACTTCACTGTTCATAGTATGGAGAGGTGCTATTAAAACAACTGCCAATAATCTGCCCTTTTGTTCCATCAGATCATAAAACATTCTCCTGCTTCAGGGAGGCTTCAGATTTGCTAAATTGGAGATAAATTGGAGTAAAGTTTGCCTGAAAGAAAAAAAACAAGAAGGAAACTGAAAAATCTAAACACTTGTTTTCTTTTTATACCTTTTATATTTTTTTTCAATTTCAATCTTTTGGTCCTGTTCTGGGATGGGGAGCATCATCACTGACAGTTCAATACAGGAGCTGCAGTTAATAACAGCTGTGGGAACTGGGACGGGCTCTAAGAACCACCTGCCTCTCCTTCTAACCTTTTTAGAATGAAGTCCTGTGAATCTAACACAAGAAAATAGGGTTAATAATACCTCTGTTCTTGTTTTTCTAAATTTTCTTGAGTTTTGCAAGTTCTCAGTTAGATTGAACGAGGGAAAAGTTTTAAAGTGAATGACTATAGCTTCATGTTTGAATCTTTTTCATCATTAACTCTTCATCATTATTTCATCATTTACTAAAACTCTTCATATACACTCAAGATTATTGTTATTTTTTTTTGTTAAAAGGATTGATACCTTGGTGATTGTTGGTTTTTAAGCTTAATTTCACTCCAGTTGGGCATGCAGCACCACTTCATCTAAAAAGGCAGCAGATTTTAGGCAAATTTCATCTTACTAAATCAGTTCAGTGCTTTTTTAAAATGAACTATAAAAATAAAGTTATTGGAGATTTTTGATTGAAATGCTTCTGATGATTTGCTGGTTTTTATCTTAAAAAAACAGCTAAGATTTCCAAGAAAAACATAAAGGGTCTCCAGAAAGATAAAAAAAAAATAAACAACAACTCTGGGGTGTTTTTGTCATTTGAACGCTTGTTTATTAATGGAAGTGTTTCTCTGCTCAGAAAAAGCAGCTGGGTTTGGCTGTATTTCCAGAGCAGTGGCGGTTTTATTGGATGCTAGTGCAGAGAAAATGAAATCAAATAATTCTTCTCTTGCTGACCCTCTTTATTAAAAACACCTCCAGGCAGCATTTTGTTTGAGTAAATACTGTGATGTTCTGTTGGTTCATCAGTGTATGAAGTGACAAACGGCGACGCCGAGGTGATCCTGAAGAAAGCCGGCGAGGCCGGAGCAGAGGACGGCGTGGTGCTGCTCAGAGGGCTGCCTTACTCCTGCACAGAGGACGACATCGCTCACTTCTTCTCAGGTAGACTCGCTTTTCATTTCATCATTAAAGATAAAAAAAAAAAAGAAAAAAGAATCCAATAGACATAAAAAAATATTTTAAAAAGGAGTATTTAAGTTTAAACAAGTTTGATATATTAAAATATGCATACTTTAAAGAATAAAGTGATAATAATCTCTCCATCATGTAGTTTCCTTTTTTATTTTGTATTTTTCCTTAAAGCTCTGCATGTTTGTGATGGCCGCAGCTTGTTTTCTTGTTTCCTGAACTCAGGTTTGAATATAGCTGAAAACGGGATCACCATCCTCAGCAACAACAGGGGGAGAAACTCTGGTCAAGCATATGTGCAGTTTTCCTCTCAGGAAGAAGCCAGTAAAGCTCTGCAGAAAGACAGAGAGCTCATAGGTCACAGGTAAGTCACTGCAGGTCAGGTCTGGTCCAAACCACTAAAATAAATACATCAGTGCTGATTTAAAAACACAAGATACTCCCCTGGGTTCATCATTTTGAGTCAGATGTTATTATTGTCAGTAGAAAATGTTTGTTTTAGCCCAGCAGAGACGGGTGACTCGAGGCCTCCATACTGGCTGAGGAACGATTTTGGTATAAAGATGAGAATTTGAGCCATTTGCATAGAAATAATAAAAAAAAAAATGCAAGAAATAACTTTTTTAGTGTTTTTGTCTTTAGACTGCAAACTTTTTATCTTTTTTTCCCCATACATTAAAATATATTTTTTTGGTGTCTTCTCAAAAGGTTGACATTTCTCTTTGTCTGAAAAGTTACCATAGTTTGATCATTTCCACACATTGAGCATCTGGTGGAGCTCCATTCTCCTGAACATGGAGAGAGGATGGCACAGCTGTTATCATTTATGAAACATTTGCAGGAAAAAAAAGGTCAGAAGAAGTCATGTTTACAGTTTGAAAGCCATGTAAAAAAAAAAAAAAAAACACGGTAAACACGTTCTAGTCTGGCGGAACCAAAACCTGCACTTTTTACTCTGCTTCTAAAACTTTGTTAGGGAAAGTTCCCAGTCTAGACCAGATCTTTAGGAAAAAAATAAGACAAAGATGTAAATGTTAAGATAATGATGGAAATATTTTGGAGATTTGATATTATATCTCTTTGTTCTTGTGCAGATATATAGAGGTGTTCCCCAGCAGCATGGACGACATCCAGACCGCCCAGAGGAGGAGGAGGACAATGAAGCCGAATCTATCCCAGCCGGCGAGCAGGAGATCAGTTACTGACTCCCAGATGAACCATAGAGCGGGTGAGGAGAATAGCAGGACTTAGTTTTATAGATCTATGCTTGGATCTAATCGGTCTTTATTTGTGGTGAATCAGTTTCCCATCAGATCTCAGATGTGGCAACGCATTACATCCACATGAGAGGACTTCCCTTCCAGGTTTCTGGAGAAGACATCGCGAAGGTGCTGCAAAAATCAACCATTTCAATGTGACATGAATTGTTGGAGACATCAGAGCCACAGCGTGTCCTTTTGTCCTCCTACAGTTCTTTTCTCCTCTCGCCGTGTCCAAGATCCTGGTGGAGTTTGGACCTGACGGGAGGCCGAGCGGAGAGGCCGACGTCTTCTTCCACAGCCACAGGGACGCAGTGGACGCCATGTCCAAGGATCGTATGAACATGGGTAGGAACCTTAAAGCGAAAACTAGAAAGAAAAGCGCTGTTTACAATGAACAAATTACATAAGAACTGTTAAATTAATCAAAAATTACGCAGATTCTCCTTAGAGTACTGGGGCTGAAACAATCGGATTAATCATTTATTGAAATGATCTTCAACTAATTTAGTAATTGATTAATCGTTAAGATGCTTTCAGCTGACAGAGCGACCCACTTGGAGCAGTAATTATACCAAGATTTTAAAAGAAATCTAAATAAATATTTTGCATTTAAGATTAAAAAAATAAAAACATTCTGTCAATATGTTCTATCCAGAACTCCTCAAGTGGAAAAATGCGTTTCCCCTGGTTTGATTTGTAAAAAGGAACCTTTGGCTATCTGATTATTGATTGATTAAAAAAGTAATCAAGAGATTAATTGATTTGCAAAAGAATCGTTGCAATTAGTTGCAGCCCTAAGAAGCACTGTTTCTAAATAAATTTCAGAGATGGTCATTAGGAAGTTTTATGCTTACAGGTAAAATGGCTGCGCCCCCTGGTGGCAGACAAGGGCTCAGTGTCTGCTGCTACATTCTGGACGGCATACACGTTTTTTTTTTCTTTTTCAATCATTGCACGCAGCTACAGCAAACCCTGCGGTTTTGTGGTATAGTTTGAGTTCACAGCTCACGATGTATGTTCTCACACTGCGACCCGACACTCTGATGCGATCTACCTGCTCACACTGTACGTCTAAAACCACGTCAGCTCCGCAGTGACCTGACAATGAACGCCCTTCAGGGTGATCGGAGGAAATGGCATGATGTCTGTGACAAAGGTGGAACTTAAAGGGTTGGCTTCAGAAGTGGTCCTGGACTCAACTAAAAGGAAGATATTGTACCGGATTTATCCAGAAAATCAGTGAAAATCAGCAAATCAAAAGGCGTTTGACCAGGAGGAATGAAGATAGGTGAGGAACGCTGTTAGAAGGTGATGTCTGGCTGTGAATCGTGCTCAAAGCAGGTCAGGAGAGACTTTACTGTGAGGTTCTCTAAGTGGTGCTCACAAGGTGATTTTTTCCAACTGTGGTGTGATTCCTGAAGTATATGGAGGGCCCCAATATCACGGCAAATATACCATTAAAATATAAATAACAAAATCTTTGAATAATTGAAAACACATTTGAAATGATGAATAAATTATTATAAATATTTCCCTTTATATTTGTACATAAATATAGAGTGAAATAATTAAATATATTTTTGGGGGTTCGTCAGTTTGTGGCACTTATCTTTAGGTCATCGACTGAAAATCGACTGATAATGTGACTGCTGTGCTGTACGATATTTGATGCCTTTATAAATTCCATTAGTTTTGTTGCATTGATGAAATTATAGAAACATGATAAAGAAATCAGATTTATGGTGTTATTTTTATTTTGAGGATTTGGGGAAAAAATGAAAGTTCACCTCCCTGCATCAGAGCGCTACCTGTTGGACATGTGTGCAACTAAACTAGCAGCAGTAGTGGAGTTTAGAGACGCAATCCTCTGCTTAAATCTATCTTTTCTGCAATTTATTCAGAAGTTCAGCAATTGCAATTTTTCCTCTCACTCCCTTCTTGGTGGTCGGCCGCATATTTAGCACGCCTTTCATGGAAATGCCTTTCCATATTACTTTTTATTTTTTGACAAACTCTCATTACAAAGCAAAAATGCAGGCAATCCTTCCGCTTTGGTAATAAAAGGAAATGATTCGGTCCGTTCTTCTTTGAATCCTCTGTTCTCATCAGCTATCTTGCTTTTTTCCCTGGATATCCATGGCCTGAGACACATCTGCTGGTTTGTTTACAAAAGCACCTGCCTGGAACCTGGCTGCAGGCTATGACACAAATCTTCATTCACAGAAATGTTTTCATTTTTTTTTTTTTTTATTATACAATTTTTTTCTTTACAGTATTGGACACCTAATGTTTGTTTGACCTCCTGCACACCATATTCAACAAAAATAAATCTATTTTCTGTTCATTTTCATACATTTTTGAAAAATCGCCAGGTGTGCATTAAAGAGCCGTGGGTTGCCAACCCCTGCCATTGAGGAACCTAATTTTAGTTGAAACTGTTTATTCAAAGGAAAAACAGGTTAAGCCCTTTGGAAACCACAGAACTAATACTGCAGTTTGCATAAACAAGGGTTAATTTATGTTGTGACTTTTAACAACAAAACCTAATTTTTTTTTCATTGAAACTATGTGCCCCTTAACTCAGCATACATTTAATGCAATACTATCAGAAACACTTGATAATAGATTCCTGATTAAAAGCATGTTTTTAAATTAAAATGATCACTTTATGTAAATATCCTGAAAACAAATTCTAAGGATTTATCTGTAATCGTGGCTAAGTCCCAGAAGCTTTAGTCTTTTGATGTTAGTGTTGCAGCCAAGCATCAAAACGGTGTTAAGAGTTTAGAAATCAACCATGTCATCAAAAATCAATGATAAACAATCATGGATTTTTTATCACCCAATTCTAACTATGGATCATTTTTCATTTATTTATGGGATTTGAACAAAAAAAAAAGATTCAGGATTTATTGATCACTAAGAACTCTTTGTTGGTGCCAGAATCATTTATACTTTTTTTTTATTTTCAGGACAAAGATACATCGAGTTGTTCCTGAACTCCATACCAGACTCTGACTGACGGTGAGAAAATGCGATCTAAAGAGGACATCCTCCAGTGTTTTAATTGTAAATTTCAATCTTTTAAATATTTTTGTTGCTGCAGCCCATTGGGTGAATTTAAAACTCATAACTGTAGTAATAATAAGGCCTAAATGTTTCCCCTCCTTTGGGAACGGTAGAAAATGTTAATTATTCAACCTCTGGCTAAAATAACAGACTTAACACACGTTTTTGTGTTTTTTAGATGGACGTCAACATACAAACTCTGAGATCCTCATATTTATTCTTTAAACAATAAAATATGAAACAAACATTCCTTGTGTCCAAAATCATGAGTATCTTTATTAAACATTTTATTGTGTTGGGAATCTCTTCTGTGTCTTGGGTTTTTTGGTGGTTTTCATGTCTTGGTTCGAATATTTTACATCAAATATTTTAGCTTTGGCTGGAAATATATATATTTAGCCGTTTCTGGAAGTTTAAATGAACTTAATGTGAATTGAAATAGAAAGGGACAGGATTGGATGATTGGTTTGGCTCATTCAGTAACAACAGTACAGCAATAGATGCATACCAGTTTATTGTTTCTTTACAGCAGTTCCATCTCACATTTTTATTTGCAATAACACCATAAATCAAATGTTTGCTATCTTTTGAATCGATCTAATGAACAGTGAGCAAAGCTTTTTACATCCAGGACAAAGCCTGGGAATGTCCTCATGTTTCTTTGAATAATCCAGACTCCACACCAGCAGTGAATGGAACTTTATGATGATTTCTAGTTTTATTAATGCCTCTAACAGCTTGTGCAAAACAGACAACAGCATGAATGTAAACAATTCCACTTCAGAAACTCAAAGCTGACAGGAAAACTAAATCTATGGTGGCTTTTTAGATCGCTCCACCTGTTCATTTATTAAAGTCTGTAAAATGTTTGTTTAGTTTATATTTATTTGTTGGTTGTCAGTAAACTTTGGCTTGGGCCGACTGTAGAAGCTTGTTTTAATTTGGATGTAAAAATGCAACGCTGGTTGTTTTTAGGCGCCAGAACTGAATCCTGTTCAGGATTAAAATAAAAAAAGTTAAAAGGGAGAATGTCATTTCTCCAACTTCTCAAACACTAAAGATGAATCTAAACCAGGATATTGTAAGTCAAAAGCATCAGTTAATGCCCTCTACATTGTATTTATTCATTAGCCAAACAGGTTTCTCCAATAAACAATTTTTGTTTGCATTTGCCGACATAGTCTCAGTCAGAAAATTAATATATAGTTTTTTTCCTCAGGTTTTACATGCACTGCCTGGACCCGGGCTCATAAAAGCTTGTATGGGTTCCCCTTAAGTCTCTTTTGGGTTTTGATTTCATACTAGGATGATTGGTTAAAACTGAATTTTCTACCCAGCATTGTCAGACATTAAACCTAAACACTATGCACATAGGTCCATTTTAATAATCCATGTTTTCCCAATTTGGGTCCCATATTTAAATATCAATTAGGGCTATTTATCACAGTTTATTAACTTGTTTAGTTAAGTTTTTGGACAAGAGCATCTCAGGTGGATTGACTAATTAAAAAAGACTAATTAAAAAAGAAGAAAAGAAAAGTTGGTTTGGTGATTTAGCTTACAAGGAAGTTAATTTGAAATCAACCAGCAGCTATAGCAGATTAGCTTTATGCTAAGCTACAGTCAGGGGTTAACCCTAAAAATATCAAACATTTCAAAGCTTTAGGAAATGATTTAATACTGACAAATACTATAGGAACACCTTTATATAGCTGATATCATTTCTATGAATAAAGTTATAGTATTTTCCTTAGAATTATAGTTTTCACTACTGAAATCTGCGGTAAATGTACTTTTCTATCAGCAAAATACAGACAGGATAAATATTTCAGGTTTTAAGAGATTGTTTTGGGTCAAATGTGTTTGAACTCAAAGGAACCAGCAGTCTTTTCAACATTATACAGATACCAAGCAGAGCGAAAACTCAGAAAACAAGCTTAAATTTCCAGTTTTTCCATTTTAGTCATTAAACAGTTAAATAGGTGTTGAAATAGGCTGCAGTAACCCAGTTTAATATAAAGTAGAAAGTAATTAAATTAATGAGATTTAAATGTTGACTTTATTTCAAGTCCAGCCTTTATCGGCTATGAAAGTGCCGAATGTTTAAGTTTAGCATAAAGCCACCAAAAGAGGATATGGCATCAGTTCTGTTTAACGGTGATAAAAACCTGCATATGTGAGGCTCTCGCTAACAGATATTTGAACGTCTTAAAAAAAATCCCCCAAGGAGCTTAAAGGATCCTTCATGACGTTTCTGGCCATGAAGTGAAAAAGTGCTTCCTGCAGTGCCGGTTTGAATGCCTCCCGATGAATGCGCGGCTGCTCATGTTGGGGTGGATGCGTACTGCTGCAGTAACCGCGGGTAGCAGGAGGCGCAGACCTTCTCTGGGAGGATGGAGGAAGGCAGCGGCAGCTCGTGGCAGACGCAGCTCTCACAGAACACATTCAAGCAGTTCCTGCATTGTGTCTAAGAGAGAAAGCAGGAAAAGAATTTAGAAAAGAATAAAGAAATTCTTGCAGATCTTGATGATTTCTTCTCATTTCCAGTCACTGCAAAAATGATCTTAAAATTACCAAAAACATTTTTTTTTACAGTGTATTTATCCATAATTTGAGTAGGTAAATAAGGTGATCTACCAATGGAATAAGCAAGTTTAGCCTTAACATAAGATACAGTAATTAGATATTGTACGGTTGAAATTAGACCATTTCTTTCTTTCATATTTTAAATGTAAATCATCTTATTCCATTGGCAAAATGCCTGACTTACCTGCTCAATTTAAGAAAAAAAAGCATTTAATTTAAGAAAAAATTACTTAGATTATTATTTTTGCAGCGACTACTTTTATTTTTTTTTTATACATTCTTCTGTTTAATTCTGATCATTCACTACAGTTTGTACCTTTGTCCTCAGGAGGGAGTCATCCTCTTTACACAGGGTACAGACGTACGGCTCAGTGTTGGGCTGAGTGTTCTCTGGACGTGTCACTTCCTGCATTTAAATCAGAAATGTTTTCTTTGAAGATATCCTGTTAGAAAAAATAACTACGCCTCTGGAGATTTTATAACAACCTCACCTGCTCGTCTTCTGTATGTGACAATGACCTTAAAAAAAAAAAAAAAGAGACAAGATAAAAAAGGTTATTTAATATTCTTTAATATATAAAAAAATAAAGTTTGTAAACATGGACTCACAAACTGGAGCCCAGGCTGGTTTTCTCCTCCTGTTCACTCTGTGATTGCTCCGTCTCCCTTTTGGTCGGTATAGATTCTGAAAGAATCTGTTTGGGGGAAAAACACAGCGTCTAAAAACAAAGCTGGGATCTCAGACACCGCCTGCTTAGGGTCTTTATTCTTTCACCCACCTTTGAAGGACTCTCTGGATGTTTGGTCTTCCTTGGAGCAGAAGCAGAAGCTCTGGCAGCAGCGCTGAGATGAAGTTCCCGATTTAGCTCTCGTTCTCTCCTCAGCTCCATCTCAAGAGAAGATCTAAAACAGAAAAACACGACCTAGCTTAAAGCAAAAAGATTTGTTTCACATTTACTTTTGATAATAATGTAGAATTTCAAGACGATTTGAGTCCATCTATAAATTTAGTTTCATTGATTGAAGGAAGCAGCTCAGCTCAGTTTAAACCTTAAAGCCGGGGTGTACACTGCGATTTTTTCAGTCGTTACACGCAGCTACTGCTCACACTGTATGACTAAACCGCAGGATTTAGTCGTACAGTATGAGCTCACAGCTCACGATTTATGTGCAGCACAACGTTCTAATGCGATCTACCAGCTCACACTGCACAACTAAAAACCAAGTCGGACTCAGCTCCGCAGTGAGTTGGAGCTGCTCTGAATCGTCTATCCGGAAGTCAAACAAATAGAAGGGGGATATTAAGCTCACTATAGTGGCAATTTGTGCAATTTAGTGCTAAAAGCTCTAAAAAGAAAAGGCGACAACACATTTGGAAAAAAGACATGGCTGAGCAAACGTGGCTACTACGGTCTGTCAATTTTACAGACAGAACTGCATTTCACTCATTGCATCCCTGCCACGCTGCTGTGTTTACAGAAGAATTATAAACCTTGTTTGCGCCCTGAGCAATTCACCCACGACGGTCCTGAGCTCAAGATTCCTGATCGGCTGGTGGTTGTAAGAGGCTGATCGCCCTCGTATCCCTCTGTACACTACACGACTCCCAATCAGGCTGAAAGTGGATCGAAAGATTCTCACATGACTGAAAAATCGCCCCGAAAATCACACAGTGTACACCCAGCTGTAGTTGAGACTTAAGTTTTGCCTGGTTCTGCTGGAGATTTATTCCTGTTTAAAGTGAGTTTTTCCTCTCCACTGTCGCTACAAGCATCCCTATTGTGAAGGACTGCATTGGAGTCGTTGAGTCGACGCAATGAACTGTAAAGTTTCTTGAGATGATGTGTTGTGAATTAGCACTATATAAATAAACTGAAGTTTTCTTGTTAAACAATTCTCCTGATGTGGATGTGCATGTTTAGACCAGTACACTGTAAGAAGCTTAACCCATATTAACAAATATCATTCTAATTAGGGACTCAATAATTCTTTTTAACATTTTATTTTCCTCTCGACAGAAAGGGAATTATTACAAAGGGTTAGAATACATTTTAAAAACAAAAGTTGGATTCACATGTCTTGACTTTTTTAGTTTTTTCTCTCATAAATCAATACTAGGCTGAGTCCGAGATTTTAATGAGCTCCTCCATAGATATTTGCAGGACAGAAACAACTGCAACACTTTGATACTTACCTTTGTTTCAGCAGCTGCTCCAACTCCACCTGCAGACTCTCAATTTTGTCTCCAAAGTCCTGCTTGAAGAGCCGGTTGGCTTCTAGAGCCAGATCCCGCTCCCTCTCGGTCTGTTTGCATCTGAATGTGGGGTGATCGGGTTAAAACAAACTCACGGCGAAACAAAAAAAAAATGAGGAGGAGATGCAAACTAAAGCTAAAAATGACAAGAGACTGACATGAAATAGAGAAATAAAAGTCTGAAAAATAAAGGAGGATGAAGCAGGCTGTGTTTTGTTCACCGTTTTATTTCCCCTAATGATTACTACAGTTTACAGCAATGTTATGTTCACACACAGTTCAAAATTAATTCATGTTGCCCTTTCTCCTAATGTCGTCTTGCTCCTGCGCTGAACTTTGACCCTTGCATGCAGCTCATGGAATCACAGCAAACCTGTTGGATAACAAAACTTAACCTCATTCTCCCTCAGGTTCTTAAAAACGACTCCAGAAAAGCCTCTGAGGCAGCAGAACTCTTTGGATAAAATTACAACAAGTCTGCTACCTCCCAAATATCCGATCCTTCCGACCTTTTAGAGCTTATGTCTTTTACTGGATTTAGGTTATGGATCGAACGGGGATTAACGTGGAGCTTTGATGAAGTCGGACGCTGCGAACGCGTCTGCTGGAGAACTCGACTGTGACGGGAGCTAAGAGGGTCGGTTCAGTCCACAATGAAAGCTGGAGAACCACTGCAGGAAAGATGGGGGGGGTTTAAATCGTCAACAACAAACAAACGTCGTACAGAAAAAGGTAACATCCTAGTTTGGTTATGTCTATATTAGGCAGGGCTGCATGTTTGCACGCATGTTTCAGGGAGAGTTGAGCTACTGCTGCTGCTGCAGGATCTTTCCTGCTGTGGCGCTCAGGGATCTGGCCTGCTTCACCAAACCTTTATCGCTGAGCGAGGAAATAAAAGCAGCAAGAAATGGGTTTAAAAAAAAAGAAAAAGTAAAATCAACACGATGGAGATGGAGAGAGAAAGAAGCGAGAGGCTTGAGTAGGTAAATGACTGAGGAGAAACACATCCTGCTGTAAATGTCCAAAGTCTCCTCACCTGTTCTCCAGCTGCTTTATGGTTCCAGACATCTGGTTGATTTTCTCCTCCAGCCGAGTGATGGCTTCACTCTTCTGTTTTGAGCTGGCGTCTGCACTCTGAGGAAGAACCCACAGTCAGATCAGCTCCTTCTCTGATAACTCTGTCATTTTAGGACTGATTTTCTAAAGGCAAAGATTTTCATTTGGCTCGAACTAAACAATCTAGCATGACTACCATGACTTCTTCTGTTTTTTAAACCTCTAACAGCTCAAATAAAAACTGCTATCTTATATTTCCTATCCACCAACAGGTGCCTTAATGAGAAAGAAATATTTTTCACTTTAGCAGTGGTCACGAAATTATGCTTTTGTATGTGAAAATAAACAATAATGGACATTATTGAAACATAGATTGGACTTCTATTGATCAGATAAAGATAAAATGATGTTCAGATTTGAGCTGCAGGTTTTTATAATATTTGGCCGGTTGGCAGCACAACCTGTGACTTGTGGCTGAGCTGTTGGTTAATGGCACGAAGGTCTTCCAGCTGCTGTCGGAGCTCCACCAGAGCGTCCTGCTTCTCACAGATGTCCTTCTCCAGCATCTTCATGGACAGCTCCATCTCCTGCTTCATCCCGATCTGCACCTCCAGCTCTCGCTCCACGTCCTGCATAAGGATCCGCTTTGACTTAACTTGCACAGACCTTTACCAATTTATGAGCTTTTAAATAAAATTTTTAGCATTCTAGTGCCAACAGAAAGAACAAGTTGAAAAAAAACATAAAATAAATTATATACACACACACATATATATATATATATATATATATATATATATATATATATAAAAATATAAAATTTCTGGGGGAGAAAAAGAAACACACCAGTCGAAGCTGAGTTTCCTCTTTGAGCTGCTTCCGGGTTTCACCAAGCACTCCGTCCGCTGTTGATAACTATTTCAGAATAAAAATAAAAATAAATTCAGATAAAAAAAGGCCTTTTTATTACTTGGAAATGTTGCAAAACGATCCTATACAAGCTTTTAAAGACAAAACAAGTTTTAATGGAATAAATAATAATCTTCAGAGGCATCAGGCAGCCAGGGTTTCTTTAAAGGTCTTATTTCATTAAAAAACAAAGACTTCACTTGGTGGTGCTACAAAGTTAGTGATAACTCTATAAATCCAGGTTTTCTGGTTTTGTACACGTGAATTCATAAATCTGGAATTTGAGAAGCAAACGGTGCGAAAAAAACAAAAGGAGAGTTGGTTACTGGAGGCGGAGTCCTGCACAGGTCTGATTTTTATAAAAACTGTATCCACCTGCACCCGTAGAGTTCAGAACCGAGACCCGGCCCCTTACTCACAATTATCCCCAATTAAAACCTGGACAGGACCTTACAGACCTGTAAATAAAGTGCAACCCAACCCGTAATCACAAAGTGTACAGACAGCCGTTAATAATAACAAGGCAGAAAAGATCATTGCCTCATGCTCACATCTAGTGCGCGCTGTGCTCACAGATAAACAGCTGTAAATTGGCCGAAGTAAGAAGGATTGCCTCGTTGCTGTATCTGGACATTTCTGAATCCATTTTTTTTTATGTAGAGTTAATAAATAAGAAAACATAAATATGTTTCATTCATATTTTTCTAGCCATAGTTTACGTTTTATACAGGACTCTGACTATAGGAGCAAGTTCATGAGGATCAGAGCTGCTTCATTAAAGCCGAAAAAACACCTTAAAGAGTCTTTATCTAGTTGTAATATTGCACCTTAGTTACTTGTTAATTACTATTACGAAAAGTATGAGCCTTCATTGAACAAATAGAAAGATAAAATCAAATGTTCTTTGCAGTTTTTGATATAAAAGCTAAAATGATTCAGTCTGCAGGATGAGCCGCTTTAAATGTCTGACTTTCTTTTTTTTTTTTGTACACTAAAAAATTTCCCATTAAAAGTGGAGCAACTGGCCCCAAAAGGTCAACCAGGTCATAGATATCAACATCCAGAAACAATAGAGGGCAAAAAGTCTATAAATGAGAGGGAAAACAATTTACTGTCCACTCTATAAAAATCTAACAATGATAGGACAGCGTCAAAAAGTAAGTTTTAGTTAAAGGGAATCAGGCTGACTAACGAAACAGACTAATTTCTCTAAACTTTATCATGTAAATCGACCATTAAGTGTAGCCAAAAAAATTTTAACATAATATATATATATGTGTAAATATATCTCATCAGGGTTACAGCATGGCTGCTTGGCTCTCATCTGATCTTTAATTAACTGAACCTGATTCAAAGGAAGTGCTGGTCTGATGTCCTTAGACTAAAGACAAAGCATAAGTTTGTTGTTTAAATGGTTTCATGAAAGAGTTTTAAACGTTTGTGTAAAATCCAACCCAGTGCTCCTGGGGAATCACCAGATTTATGAGACAAAGCTTTGTTCACCTTCCTGGACTCCAGCTGATATGAGCTCTCTTCTTTAACCCTCTCCACATCCTCTTGTAAAGTGATGATCCTGTTGTTTGCCACTGCGAGCTGTGAAAATAAATAAAAGGGACATCTCTGTAGAAAAAAAAAGAGCATCTGTTTTTTTTTTTTTTTTTTACTGAGGAACCAGAACTCACCTCCTCTGTCAGCTTCGTGTTGGATTTTTCAAGGGCATCCACTTTGGCCTGGAGGTTATTTACTGACGCGCTGCAGACAAACAAACAAAAACAGAGAAATTTATGAGTCACAGAGCTTGATTAGGAGCAGAGGGAGAGAAAGAGATCATCCAGACTAACCTCAAGTGTCTGTTTAGTTCCTCCACATAATTCTTCTGATCGAGGATTGCAGTGATCTGACCGTCACTGGGAGAAAGCAGAATAAAGGAGTTAATATTAAACACAACAAATAATCCAGAGAAACTTTTTAACTGATGTAAAGATGCAAAACTATTCAGATGTGGCTGGATCATAATTAGCATAAAAAATTCTGCACTATCCCTTTAAGACAGCAAGAACAGGTTAAATACTTGGTTAATTTTTTAATAGTTTTTAAAACTTAAATTGAAGATTAAAAGATTATTTATAAAGAAGATTTTTAAAGAAGGTAGATTATTGATCAAAGTGTCGTACACATATCAATAAAACAAACACACAAAATGAAACGCTTGCAACCGTTTCCTGTGTTTTAAAATGCATTGGAATCCAAATTTGTATCATCAATCCACCAGAAAATGACAATATAACATCAACAGAGATAGAATCGAGTATTTTTTTAAAGGTTATTGCACAAGGAGAGCCATTAGACTGATTCACTCACCCCTCTGCACTCTTGCTGCTGTGTCCTCCATCTTTTAGGTACATTGAAAAGTCTATGACGCCGACCTGCACATGTGAAGCCAAAGGTACGGTTTAGATCCAGAAGTGGAAAAAATAACAGTCAACTAATCCTTACAAGTATCGCGTCTCTTTGAAGACGGGTCGTTATGTTGGTAGCTAAATATTCACCTAAACATTATTGGTTCCTATGAAAAGTAACAACTTTTACAGATTTTAAATGTTACATTTTAACTCGTCTTTAAAAGAATCTAATTAGACCGTCTAACCCCTGGTTTTCATGTTAGCCTCAGTCTAAAGTGACTTAATTTCGAAATAATAATAAAAAGAATCATTAAAAATGCTTTTTCTGGAGCTATTATTATATTATTATTATAAGTGTGTTTTAAATTTTTTTTTTTTATAACCATTTATCCCCCCAAAAACACCAAATCAGTTTGTTTCTCTCTGTGGTGAACATAGCCATGAATAAAGGAAGGAAATATAATACAGTATATAATCTCATTTAACCCCATTCCACAAACACTGTTAGTGCAACAGACATATATATTATACAAATATAAATATTAATAAAATAATAAATAAAAAAAAATATGGCAACATAGTTTGAGTTTAGGCCAGCAGAGTTTAAAAGCCAGTTGGCCGAGGGAATAAAGGTTTTTATATTTCAATGTAGAGATTATGGAAAGTATTCCTGACCCCTTAAAAAGAGGAATTAAACCAGCCTTGAAATGCATTTCAACAGAAACCAAAGGCTGACATCAATGTGCAGTGGTAGCACTAACAGCATCAAACTAACAACAGAAAACCAAACCTACAGGGAGAAAAAAGGATATGTGAAAGTTAATGAGAATTTAAGCAGCCAGCAGTGACCCAACATAGCAGGATGTTTGTGCTTGTAGAGGTTTCACTTCACTTTAGTAATAAACTTCTTTAGAAGGTTTAAATCTCTTTCAGTCGTCTTACGTCAATTAGGCGTCAGATTTGAAAAGTTACACCAGATGATGAGATCATCAGCAGCTGTAGGGTCTAAACTACAGTTAGGATGATGAGTATAAAACTTTTCTGTTTTAGAAGCTCCATAAAAAAAACAAAAAAAACAAAAATCTCCTTCACTCAGAAATGGAAAAAAAAAATGTAGGTAAATCTTTCTTGCGTTTAAGCAGCCATAAGGTAAAGTGGAAGTGAGAGCAAATCGACCTGCGAGTCTAAGTCCTCCCCCTTCATGCATAGATTGGCGTCGATGACGTTCAGCCCAACAAGCAGCCCTGCGATGACGGCGCCCTCCTCCTCCATCATCAGAGCATTCGGCTCGTAAAACTCACTGCAGGAGAGAAAAAGCACTTTCATATCATAAAGGGTTTTACATTCGTGTTTTAGGCCAGTAGGAAAAAATACTCAAACAGCATCTAGAAAAAAACTTGCGTGTGCTCTAAATTAAGCAGATGAGGACATAATAAGGAACATGTAGGCAAAAGATACAAGTATTGTTAAAAAAATAAATAAAAATTCCTCAGCAGGGCTTATAAGGAGAAAAACAAAAAGTTTTTCAAAAAGCCTGAAGAACAAATTATCAAGAACACTTAAACAATTCGAAGAAATTCTGGCTCTTCTGGCTGAATAAACAATAATTAAATCCCTGTAACCGTATCCCCTGGTGGGCTCAGTACAAACATACCCGAGCAGGTCCTTCCTGTTAATGATGGTCTTCATGTAGTCTGAGAGCTTCTTCTGCATCAAAGCCAGACGTAACCAGGCTCGTCCTCTTCCTAAAGGAGTTCTGGTGTCAAACACACAGATAGGAGTGGATTTCAAGCCTACATTTAACAGCAAATACCAGCGTCCTAATGGAACCATCTCTGAGGACCCACCTTAACCCGGGCAGGTCTTTGACACTGGCAGTAATCTCTCCAGCCTCAGGAGTCAGCTTCTCCACCAGCTCCAACGGCCCCCAGAACGACTTGTTCTGTCCCAAGAAGGTCTTCTTACCTGATTATTAAAGGGAATAGCTATGATCACTTAGAAAATGACTGCAGTTCCTTTATGCAATCTATACCCTCCTTTTTTTATTATTATTGAAGGGAACCAAACTAGCTTCAGTGAACAAGGCTGTAATCCTTTTTTTTTTTAAACCTCTTTATTTCAGGCAGTCACTACAGGTCAATAAAAGGCGACACGACTAGAATATTCTGATTAAACATTTACCAAAGCTACCTCAGGCATTCCTCTAAATGTTAAGTTCTATGAGGTTAATTCCAAAAACATTACCAAATCATAAAGACAGGGGGAAAGGGTCACTTATACATTATTATAATGATAATACATACTTTTTAGTCCATGTTTAAGACAGTGCTCCATGACAACAAAGAACTGCTGGAGGGGTGCGTAGTCCGAGTCAAGCGTGCGTCCAAGATTCAGCGCCGACTCGATCAGGCCCTTGATGCTAAGTTTGGCCATGTTCATCAAGTTAAGCCTTTCAATGGCAATCGGGTCTTTGGGATCTGAAAAGGAGAAAGACTAAACATTAACAATTACTGTTTGGTAGGGCTGGAAGGGTAACTGCATTTGCAGCATTGATATTTTAAAAATGGGAGTTACCATGTTAGGCAACATCTAAGTAGAGCAAGACTTGTTTCTTACTCCTGCATGTCAGGTGACAGTAACACCCTTAAAGTGGGTTTGCTGCCATACAGAGGGGTGGAGAATTGCAGCTAGCACACATTTCTAAGTATGCCGGTCAGAAGTTAGCACTGGTTAACACAAGAATGAAGTCTTGTGACAATGGTCTCTGGACAATACAGCATTCAAGGCCACAAAAACCATGAAACCCTGCAGCCACAGGGGGGCGCTTCATTGTTTCTGGTAATTATTTGGTTTTGAAAGGGGGAGTGTGTGCTGTCTCTAGTGTGATTACCCTAAAAGTTGGGAATTTTACCCTTAAATTACCACCATTAAAACTGTTCAATACATGGAACTGTTTCTCTAGATACACTCTGCAATTAGTGTACAACAAGGACTGATGTTAAACTCAAAAAAATATGATCCTGAATAAAGATATAAAAACAAAAATACATTTGGTAAATTTCTTATTTTATTAGGACCTTGTCCACAAACATACATTTATATCGAATATTTGTTGCTTTTGGTTAGTGCAGAGGAAAAGCAAACGAAAATGACATTTGGAATTCTGGTTAAAAAAATAAATAAAAATAATCAAAATTGTTGTGATGAATTTAATAGCCCTATTGTTTAGTAATGCCAAAGGATTCAGCATTTGTAATGGCTCCAACTACATGCTTAGATCATCACACGAATCACATTTCCTAAAGTGCCAGAAAACAAGCTTTCCAACCACTTAAAGCCCAAAAAACATTGTGACTAAGAAATATACGGCCTTAATTTTTACTTCCTTGATAAATCTTCATCAGGTTCCTCATCGATGAAAAGAATGCAGTTCATCAATTTTTTGTACAAACATTCCATTCTTAAGATGTCAGACGAATCAACCTACCTCTGATCAAAACCCTTTTTATTTTTCCTCAGATACACGTCAACATCTCAGTGCAGTAATAGCTCTTCCAATGGAAAACAGGAATAATAGAAAATTGGTTGAAATTAAGAGCTATGACTATCAAACGTAACATTCAGGATATTTAACCAACTACAGCAGGTTTTATAGGTGACTGTGATACAGTTTAGGAAAACTGTTTTTATAGTCTAGCTAGATTTTTTTATTGTGTATCTTAGAACAGAAATATAAAGAAACATCAATGCCTCATTTCTTTATAGAAAACATCTATAAACTGAACATATCTGAGAATATGGTGGCTGGAAAACCAGAAACAAAGACAGGGCTATGTTTGAATACCTACTTTTTATTTTATGGTCTTTTACACTGTTTTCAGGGATTATTAATTAAATCTACTTGTTCCTCTTCTTCATACACTGATGCCTTAAACAACTTTCCTATGGGAGAAAAGAGACCGAAAGCTGTTTTGCTTAAATCTCATATTCATAACCGGAAATTTAAACTATATATATATATATATATATATATATATATATATATATAAATAAAGAAATCATTAACAAATCCATCCATCGATTTTCTGTCACGCTTATCTGAATCAGGGTTGCGAGGGGTGCTGGTCCCTATATCCAGCTGCCTATGGGCGAGAGGCGGGGTACACCCTGGACAGGTCGCCAGTCCATCGCAGGGGAACACAGAGACAAACAGGACAAACAACCATTCACACACACTCACACCTAAGTAGAATTTAGAGAAGCCAATTAACCTAAAAGTCATGTTTTTGGACTTTAGGAGGAAGCAGGAGTACCCGGAGAGAACCCACGCATGCACAGGGAGAACATGCTGCAAACTCAGAAAGAGGAATCAAAACTGGATCTTCTCGCTGCCTGGCAGCAGTGCTACCCACTGTTCCACTTAGCAGAGTGTTTTACAGATAGCATGAAGTGTGAATTGATTATTACATTAAAATATGTTAGCAAAAATTACAGAAAAATATGTTAGCAAAAAGAAATACAGACATTTAACAGTTTCCAGTCTGAAAAGGATGCATGGATCAAAAAGCAAGTTGTCTCATGCGCAGCAGCTAGAAGCTGAGTCTCCTTAGAGCTACAGCTGCAAGATGTTTAACAGCTTCATATAAAAAAAAAGTTTTACACTCCAATCCAAGAGCCAAAGTCCTGCAGCTTCTATTCTGTGTCCCATTTTCCTTTAGGATTCAGAACTGGAAAGTTGGAGCGACATAAACTCTGAGGTGATGGTGTTCCCCACCTGTGCCATTTTATGATGCACAGGGATGGCATGGATCCACCAGGTCGTGTTATTCAAAACCAAGAACATTTCTGCACATATATATCCAAAAGTAATGCTCTAATCAGCCCCTGAGCCATAATCATCATGAGCCATGAAATCTTGGGCGATCCCTGGAAATGAGTTTCTTCCTGATTCCCATTTGGGAGGTCTTCCAGCAGGGCCAGTACATCCATCACCCACCTTTACACTTTACTTTTACCTCATACAAGTATCTCAACATTTAAAGCATTTAGAGGAAGGAGTTAGCAGGAATGGGATGATGAGGAAACGTATTTATAGGACATGTCTGCATGTGTAGATTTAGCTCTCTAACACAAGCCTGCATGTATATCTTTCTCACAGTTTTCTTTCCTTCTAGTGTCTGAAGTCTGAAATTCTGACCTCTGAGTGCTTTGCAGGCAGCAATAGATGCATCCTTGCTTCAGCATTACTGATTAGCCCCATTAGCAGAGCTCTGTGGTGGAAATCCACCAAATTCTTATTTCTAACGTTGATTATTTTGACATCAGTCAAACCGATCTGGGCTGACGATTTTCTGGGACACATTTTGAAGCAGTTAATTTTCTTCTTCCATTTATATGATACAGTAATAAATGTAACACAAACTGCAATAAAAAAACAAAAACAAAAAAAAACAAAAAAAACAATGTCCAATAAGTCAAAGTAGCAGCAATCTATGAGGTCTGTTTAATGTCAGGGCGTGGATGTTGACTGCACGTATAAATCAGGAAATGCATGCACGTATGCATCGGCTGCGTATGCGACCGATGCAAGAAAAATAACACTAATATTAGCACTAAAATATTGGCCACATTATGGATCAGTCTACCTCTGGTCTGTGGAGCTGGACAGAATCAGCCACCTAATCAGGGGTGCAGAGCGAAAGAGAGATCTTAGAGTTGCAGAACACCAACTATATAACCACAGAAGATTTCAGCTGTACAGATAAGTCTCAAATGATCACTTTTTTTTAGCATGGCGCTCACAAAACCAGAACTTGTACAAAAAGTCTCATGTGTTTGCTAGCAATGAAGATTTTATGCCTTAAAATCATCAGATCTGATACTAGAAGTCCCTTTAATTCTGTACGCTCAAATAAATTGTAAAGTGCAACCTGCTTAAATCTGTGTCAATTTGTAATAATCATGATTTAGTTACCAAGATCGAATCTTTTAGCTCAAACTATAATGTTAATGTGAACAGCTGCTCACAAAGCCACCTTCTAAACAGTCCCCATTAAGATCAAAGCATGATTTATTGTTATTGATACGTTTGCCCTCGATTGGCTTCTGAACAGGACAGGTAGGTTAAAAAAACGGCTAAATCAGGTGTTTATCAGCATCAGAAGCATTTAGGTCTGATATATTTGACCACATTAACACACGTTAGTTTATATAAATTGCATTTTTAATTTGGGAAGGAAATAACTGGATCAAGTTTTCCTGTAAATATAGAACAATCTCCTTTAGGGGTTCACTGATTGATTGGCTTTGATTTGTTTAATTATGGAAGATCAGCAACCAGCCGATACTTGGATGCAAAACTGATATTATTGACCTCTGCAAAGGTTTAAAAGAGAAAAAAAAAGAATCAGCCATTGACAAAGATACATACTTTGATTTACCTTTGAAAAATTATAATTTGTGTCATGGGAACAGATTAAATGACTTTCATAATATTTCATATTGTGATTTTATAGCAACTGACGGTGTTAATTATAAATAAGTCAATAAAAATCGGAATTGGTCAAAATCGGAATCGGCATGTCAGGCTTTTTAAAGAAACCTGCAATCAGAGCTGTTCAACTTTCCTTAGATTTTAATTGGACCCAAAATGCCCTCCTCCATCAGGAGGTTGTTGAATGCATTATCACCTCAGAGAGAATAATCAGTCAATAAAAATCTGAATCAACACTGATCGAAACAAAAAAAAAAAAAAGCTATTGGTCTTTAGAGGCCTGATCTTGTAGACAAATGTTTTATGCAGCAGTTGAAGATTATGCTTTGTTTTGGAGTTTTGGACTAGATCAGATGACAGAGCCGCTTGGCCTTTGATAATTATGTTTATCATCAGGTGGGAGGTTTTTATATTTAATGTTTTTTTTCATCATATCTGCATTTAAAATCGTCTCTCTGGGTGTTAAAGCCTAGGGGCCTTTGAGCTGTGATGCCCAGGGGCCTTCAGAGGCGTAAATCCTGCTGTTTTCATTTGAGGGATAATGATGTTTAACATCTAAAGCTGCACTTCCTGGTTGCTAGTCCCTGGCTTATTTACAGGTGGCGTCATCTTGCTGTGTAATGCTCAGGAAGCCCATGATGACACAGCTCACACAGGAACTCTGAGAAGTGCTTGAAAGACGCAGCATCTCTTTGTGGAACACCACGCCCTGATGGAAATCATTACACAGCCCCCCCGTCCATCTCTTTACCTTCATGGGCCGGCTCAGGGTCCGGAGTGAGCGAGATGTCGTTGAGCTCCCGGAGGCAAAGCCACTCGCCGTCGACAGAAACGCGAAAGTTGCACAGATAGATTGTTTCCCGAGCGGCCTGGGTGATTTTGTCTGTAGTGGGAGTCGGGGTCTCACTCTGAGGCGTCAGATCAGACATGATGACTCAGCTTTCAAAAGGAAAAAGATCAACAGCAGAGATGGAAAACAGAAAGAAAAGAAAAAGACAAAACGTCGTAGCAGCCTTTGTTCCAGGTGCCAGAGATGGTGGAGGAAAACAACCGGGCGGCTCAGACAGAATGAAGGAAAAAATCACCAGAGAGGAGACAGAAAAAAACCCCAAACCCAGACAAGGATGGCTGGTTTAAGCAGGTGTCGGGGGAGTGCTGCTCCTCTTCCTCTTCACGTCTGCATCCTCTTCTCCTCCTCAACACAACTGACTGAATTAAGCTGCTGTCTTGAGAGGGGCCTCCCCTCTCCCCCTGCTCTTTAGCCTCTTGCTTTCCCTTTTGTGCAAAGCAGCAGTTTAAAATGCAACAGAGAACGTTGTTGTGAGAAAAAACACCATTAAAAATAAAAAAGATCCCAGCCCTCCTCCAGTCAGCCCAGCACCAGTTGGCTCTGATTGGGCTGCCTGTGCACCGCAGTGAATCCACTAGGTGGGTGTCGACCAAGATGGCTGACAGCAGTGCAGGGCACGGCGACACACTCGTCACGTGAGCAGATGGTGCATGCGTACAGAAAGAGAGGAGGTGTTGGCGGAGAAGGATGAGAGGAGGAGGGGGGTCCTCTGGTGTAACAAAGCAATGCTAATGATTCAGCCGGCCATTAGCAGCATCCCTCTGAGCTGAAACAGACGCTTCTTATCTGACAACTCAATTACACAACCGGCTGCAGCAGGAGGCAGCGCGGTTAATGAGGGCAAAGGTCACGGAGCGGAGATGCAGGTTCAATTAATGGATTATTACCGGAAGGACACATTTAAGAAGAGCTCAACCTAGACTAGAAGCAACTGTCAGCTTTAAAAAAAAATGACAGTATAGCATCCAGGAAGTATTCCCAGCGCTGCCCTAATTTAGATTAGTTACAGCCTTATTCCAAATGTTATTAAATTATTTATGTCCAAAACAACCTGCTAGGATATTATAGAAAACGTGTTTTTGCAAATTTCTGACAATCAGAAAAATAAGAAATTGCATTTATGGAAGTATGGATACTTAGGCTACATTCACATTGCAGGCCTTGATGCTCAATTCCGATTTTTTTGTGAAATCCGATTTTTTTACGTTGCCGTTCACATTGCCAAATATATGTAACTTGTCTGTTATCTCCTGCGTGAACTGCAGTCATGCAACGCAAGTGTCCCACATCCGCAGTAGAGGATGTGGGACATCGTGTTTACGTGCTCTGTATTTACGGAAGTAAACATGGATGGTAGTGAGGGAGAGCATCTAGAGATCTTTCCCAACCATAAAAACACAAATCTTTTCAGGGTGGTTAAACATAAATACTACTCTCCGCATCATCAACCATGGTGGTTGTTTTTCTTGCCGCTTCTTCATAGCAAGAACCAGAATAGCTACCTCTGTCAGGTATTAATGCCGTTCAGGTCAGATGAATGCGACCTGGCTGTTCACACACAGGTCGCATTTGAAAAGATCAGATTCGTATCGTATTCAGGACCACATAGCCAAGTTGTCAGGAAAAAATCGGATCTGTGTTGTTCAGACTGCCATGAAAAAAATCAGATACAGGTCGCATATGAACAAAAAATAAAATCAGATTTGGGTCACATCAGGCTGCAGTGTGAACGTAGCATTAGTTGACCATAGACGCAATTTTTTTTTTTTGGGGGTGGGGGGAGACATGTCCCCTGCCCTTTTTTAAACATGCGTTTTGGTCCCCATGTGCGTTTTGCCATCCAAAAACAATGTTACATTACAGTACACAGACATTCATCAAGCACTAAGACCAAGCGGAAAACCGCAGCACAAGCTAAAGCCCGCTTCTTTAAGTTTAGACCCGCCCACAAGCTCCTGATTGGCCCATCATCTTTTCTTGTGCGATTGCCTGTCAAACACGCTGAAGTTAGTCATAACTTCTGAAATAGTTGTTCCACGTTTAGCAGCAGCTAAAGCCTCCAGTCTTTGTGAATCTGAGCTGATAGCTCACCATCTTCAGCCACTTTGATCCATTCTTCTTTGCAGAATCTCTATCTGGTTGGATGGGAGACGTCTGTGTACTTTCAATGGGATTCAAGTCTGCCCGCTGCTTAGGCAAAACCTCCTCTTGGACCTGCTCCTGTCGGATCTCGGCTGTGTGCTTTGGTTCGCTGCCTTATTCTGAGGTCTGGAGCATCTTTTCATCCAGTACCACTCTGTACATTACAGCGTTCATTTCCCTCCACCCTGAGCTAATCTGAAAGTTCCTGCTGCCATTAAACATTCCCGCAGCATGATTCTGCCACCACCATGCTTTAAAATATCAGCCTGGTGGTAAGTGATGCCTGAGTGCCTTTAAAAATAACTCATAGCATTTAACACCAGAAGGGTCAATCTCTGTCTCATCAGACCAGAGAATTTGGTTTCTCATGTTCTTTTTATTAAGAAGGGGATTACATCTGATCCGGTTGGTGATTGGTGGTTTGCTGCAGAGACGGTTATCCTGCTGGAAAGTTCTCCTCCCTCTACAGAGGAACGCTGGTGCTCTAAGATTGACACAGCGGGAGCGGATGCTGTGTGAAAATGGAATCAAAGCACCGCAACTCAGTTCAGCTTCAAGGCAAAGGCTGTGAATATTTATGGAAATGTAATTAATTGCTTTTATACTTTAAAGAAATCCACAGCAATCTTTAAAAAAAAAAAAAAAAATCTTTACATGGTCATAATGGGGAGCTGTGTACAGAATTTTGAGGAAAAAACTATTTCAACCATAAGTGCTAGTTTTAACAAAACTAAATGTAGAAAAAGCACAAAACTTGGAATACTTTGCGGATGGACCATCAACTCAATGACACGAAATCAATCAGTTATTATTAGATGCCATTTAATAAACTCTTTCTTTATAAAAGCTTAATATAAAGAAGAAAATAAAATCACAATCCAAGTTGTATGTTTTAGTGCCACATTAAAAGCAAGAACTACTAAATATCATTCAGATATCTGCCTCCATTATTAAAATTATATAGAGCTTGGGGCTGCAACTAATGATTATTTTGCAAATTGATTAATCTCTGGATTATTTATCAGATTAATTGATTAATACTTGGATAGCAAAAGTTACTTAAAGAAACCTTTTACTAAATTAAACCAGGTGAAACTACAACTTTTACACTTGAGTTCTGGATAGAGCATGTGGACAGACAAAAACGTTTTTTATCTTAAATGCAAAAAGTTAACTTTTTTTTTTTACACAATTTTGGTGTAATCACTGCTTTAAGTGGGTCGCTCTGTCAGCTAAAGGTTTGTTTTAGAGTCTCTATATTCCAGTTAACAATGAATCGATGACTAAATTAGTTGATGATTATTTTAATAACTGATTAATCACGATTACTCCAATTGTTTCATCCCTAACAGAGTTGAATAACAAAATAAACATATTCTAATGATTTGGCAAGTTTAGGGTCTTTGTTTGAAGTTTAACTCTGTCTGAACAGTTAAAACTCTACAGATAAAATCCACTTCGATTGAGAATGAAAAAGCTCTGTAGTGAAAAACTTAAACCAAAACCCTGTAGACTATAGCGAAAACTGAAGATCAGCTCCTGCAAGTTATAGGCCATGATTCTCCACTGGAAAAAAGGCGGCATGTCCTGTTCAGATCGGAGGAGAGTTCCTACCTCAGTTTGAGGAATTAAGTTATTATCTTTGGGGTCCTGTTCACAGGCAATAAGAGAGTAGAGCAGGAGATCGACAGACAGATGCTGGCAAAAGGCGAAGCTGGTCTACGTTCATCCCCTCACCTTCCATCCATCC